TTTCATGTATGGAGTATCATGGTGCATCAGCAATAATTAGAAGAACTGTTTAATCATTATGATATAAAAGTCTACCCAAATATGGATCCTTATTTACAAGAATCTTGCATCCAACTCTTTTGCTCAGATAATAGAGTTTAAGATATTTCTCAAGAAATGTTGCAAAATATTCAGCAAGAAACAAAAAATTCTGAAATTAGTGAGAAATCAGAAAATAAAATTCCCAAAGAAGAAAATATATATAAAATTCTTAACAGTTTTCTTACCTGGAAGCACAAAAAATGATAGCAAATCTGGTAAAGAAAATAAGTTTGTTACTAAAGTAGAAAATTCTAACCTTGTTACTGAATAAAATCACTTTTAAATAAAAATCATTGCTATTGTTATCATTATCTTTTTGTACAACATAAAGTGTCATGTGACTTTTTGTAAATTAATTTCAACTGCCAATTGAAAACATTTATTATTAGTAAAATAAAATTCTAGCGTTGTCACATTATAAAGACACCTTTCATTAAGTATCTTTTTATAGAATTAAAAAATATTAAAACTTACAGAAGAAATTAAGAGCGAAGTAAGGACAATTTTTCATAGTAATTTAATATAGCGTGCAGATCATAGGATTTACTAAATTAGTGATCAACACTATATCATTAACGAGATATTTTCGAAAAAATGGGTTAAGATCGTCATCTGCAGTTTGTAATTAGACCGATGATAGACACCCCAATAAATCATGCAAGATATAAGGTACCCGGGAACCTTATGTGGCACTTTACGGTAATTCACCAAGTGTATAGAATTAAATTTACTGAGTTTGATCAAGTAATTATTAAGAAATCATTGTTATAAATTATAATCTTAAAAGGTTCAATACAAATAAAGCCGTGATCTGATTGGTTATGTTTAAGTAGATATTCAACAAACAAGGCACAGATTCAAAAATTGCTGATTAGGGATATAGGAGATATTTGGAGATTAAGGGATTGGTTAAGTGAAGTTGAAGCGTAAGCCCTATAAGAAAAGTGGTACGGGTTGGTTTCAGGAATGTATGTACGTACGAAATAGCACGGATTGTGTGGCGCATACATGGATTCTGTGTCCAGTTTACTGCACAAATATGCGAAAATTCTGCTGATTCGGCTCAAAAAAAGCCGCATAAGCAGAAAATGTAGAGTTATATAACGATAATAATTACTAATAACAATTGAAAATCTTCTCGAACAAAAGCAGTAATTCAACGGCTTAAAAAAGCAGATTTCTGGACGCTCTAGTACGTACGTATGTACATAGAAGTTTTACTGCAGAAATTCGGATTATCGAAATTTTGGATTATCATGAGCCACCAGTAAATATACAACATTAAATTAATCACCATTATCTTTTATAGTAAATTCTTAAAATAGCGAACATGCGTGTTATTTTGAGTTATGTTTAATTTCGACAAAGTTCGAAATTACACCCTGGGAGTTATTTCGAGAATTTATGGTACTTTTGTTTTAAATAATTATTTTACAATAATAAAAAATAATTTTATTTAAAACTTTGCTAAAATATACTTTAATACTTGATTACTTTTAACATGTTGGCAATGGTTAATATTAAGTATAAATTCAAAAAAAGAAATTTTAACAAAAAAAAACAAATAGAACAGAGATCAGAACTGGTTGTAAATTCAAAAACTGAATTTGAAATTAAGTTGAGTTATATATCCGAAAAATTATTAAGAGACAAATTTCCGATGAAAATGTACTGTAAAGTACGTATTTGAATTGATGAAAATAAATGATTCTGTTTTCAAATAATTACATACTAAAATGTATGCCAGAAAATGAAATCGGCATAACTAATTACAAGTCACAAATATTCAATTATTCAAAGTTACGATTTGATACCTATATTAAAAAATTTATCAAAAAGGAATTTGATATTACTTTACATATAAATATAAAGTATTCCGCCACACCTGAACGGTTCAATATGTTGACTATATATTAGTCGCTTAATGCTTTAGATTTAATTAGTTTTATAAATTCAAATTTAAAACAATATATAAACTATTTTTTTCGAATTTGAAATACTTCATATTCATCTACTGAAAATTTGTCTTTAGTATTTCTAATTGGTTTTTCATATGATCGAGGATGACAATAACATTTGTCATACTGATTGAAATCGGTATACATGGAAAGGTCACCGTTAGCTCCGAAATTTGGACCACATTTAGTACTATTGTAAAGTGCATGTTTCTGACTTTTATACGACTTAAAATAGAAATTTGAATAGTACTATTGTTCAATGAAAAAATAAAGCTATCATCGCAATATGTATAGCAGCCATGTTTTGATTTATTCCATGCAATAGGATTATATCCACCAAGAATTTTATCAGTACCTTTAACTTTCATGACCACAACAGTATTTGTTTGTTTGTCACAAAATTTCCAAAATGACTCGGAAGTAAAACCGTCCCTTGTTCCACGGATAAGTAATTTAAATTCATATGGATTATTCGATATTTGATATGCTTCAGTTTTCTTATCAATCCATGAAGCAATTTCAGCTGCATGTGTTTCATTTATAACAGTTGAAAATGGATCCGTTGTTCTGGATGGTAATACTTGAGATGAAATAATACGAGGTGGAAGAATTATTGATGATACTGGTCGATCTGGAGTAAGAAATCTTTGCATTATGTCTTCCCAAAGATTTTCTTCAAGAATTTTTTTATATGGTTTCACTTTATCTACAATGTCATCACCAGATAATTGAAAATAGCGAATATGAGGTAACCAATTTTGTAATGTAGTTTTCAACGTTAGAAAATTTTCAAAAGACCAATTTTCAGGATCAGATGGTAACCCAGAATTTTGAGCAATCCCCCATTGGATAGCATAATTCCAAATTTTTACTTCTTCCATTTGTAAATCATCGCGTTTAATAATTGAAACTAAGGCATTTTCTTGAAGTGAGGTAAAGTTTTCTGACTCAAAAACCTTACTTGGGTACTTCGTCGCAATATCATTGCACCATTTTTGTAATTCTTGAAGATGTTTATTTTGAAAACTTGTTTGATAAATGCGAGCAAAATTTAAACGAAGCCAGTGAGCGTTCTTTTCGATTAAATATGCTTCAAGATATTTAACTAATTCTTCAAGAAGAAGCTTATGAGAAACAATCATAAGTTCAAAAATAAATGAAGCATCTTGATCTTTCAATAAAACTTCTCCTCCGTAGATATATCTTTATTAAATTTTATAAATTTAACAATTAGAAAATTAGTTTTTGCACATACTACGAAGTGTATAAAAAAAAAATACACTGTAATTATTATAGCTTACTTAATAATAATCTCAAATTGTTGAGTAGAAACATTTTCCAAGTTGATTATTTTAATGTTATTTCTATCTTTGTTAATTTTTGCTAATTTATTACGAAAATACAAAGATCTATATCTTAAAACATTTGAATGTGCATGAAATGGCTTAGTATCTGAAGAATTTCTCGTATCAACATTAATTATCACATTAAAATCTTCTTTATCATCAAGAAGTTCAAGGTAATCTGCCGAAAGTTTTTCAAAGAGTTTTCCTGTCATTCTGATCTAACCTAACTGCTGTTTAAAATTAAATTTTGCGCGTCTATTTATCTGTTATTTATGTATGTAGATCGGCCCTTTTTGGATATGAACTGATTAATAATTGTTGTATCGTATCAAAGCCTTCTAAAATGCAAAAATCAAAAAATATTTTATACGTCTGAATAAAATGTAACAAGTAATTTTGGTAAAAAGACTATTAATCCGTTTTTATTTTTTCTCCATTTCAATTCGATTACATAATGAATAATGAAGAAATAATTTATACTAAAGTTTATAGTTTCTAGGCAACTGTCCGATCAAGACATGTCACTGTTATCTCAGTTATCTTCCACGGAACAGAGAAAACCCTATAAAATCCTAAATAACTAGATGCAACAAGTTTTTTTACACTGTACAAAACTTCAACGTATAAATTATCGCAGCTTTCCTCAGAAATATTTTCTCATGCATGGCAGGGGAATTGGACTATAAGTTATTGCCTAGCTATTTAATACAACATGGAATTATGGATGCACAAAGATAATAACGTATGTACCCAGAATGCTTTTGAAGGAGCGTGTTTTTGGGACCATTAAAAGGCCACTTAGATCAGAACAGATTGCGAAAAAAAACCATCAAATAGATATGTCCAATTAACAATATATTTGAGCTGTCATGGAAAAGCCAGACAAATTATTACTGTAGGTATTGACGCGGAATTTATTGATATAATTACAAATTTTTTCGTAAAACCGTCCCAGTAAATGGTGCCTTGATTTCTTCCGACAAAAGTAATCCGAAATTTACCGAATTGCAAATTAAAGTAATTGAAGGCCCAAACTATGAAGGTCTTAAGATTCTATAACAATAACACCATTAGATTTACCGGTGTATAGCAATAAATTTTGTATTTTTAATTTATTTGTAAAAGAGAGAAAAAAAAAGGTAAACAAAGAAAGAATACATAAAGTAATCATTATTATTCCTTTTTACTTTTTTTTTGACTACTTTTTAACACGTTGACAATGATTATTATTAAATATAAATTCAAAAAAAGAAATTTAACAATAAAGTAATACAGTAATAGGGATCAGAACATTCAAGATTTACACGTCATTGTTTAAGTAAAAACAATACACGCGTCAATCAACACGCGTTTTACTCTTACGAATAAGATTAAAATAAACACGGATTTTATTTTAAAAAAAAAGCCCCCCGGTTTATCCAAGTTTTATAACCAAATTAAAGAGATTACAAATAGAATTACTATTAAACCGATTTAACAACTTAACTTAAATTTTTTAAAATTATATTAACGTTAATCGGTTCCAACCTCTAATTAGTAATCATCGTTTAAATTTTCTTTTTTTTTTTTGAATTACAGCGGAATCTATAGATACATACATACGTTACATAGTAATTTAATTTTCCGGACGATCGTCCGTACCCAACTTGATACCTAGATTTCTAAGTTTATTGACTTCATTGTTAAGAAATTCCAATTTAGCTTCAAGTCTAGTAATTTTATCACTACCAGATGATTCAGAAGAATCACCAAGTTGAAGATTATTTAATTTTTCTTCGAGTTCAGTGTATGCTTCTTCCTTCTCTCTAAGTCTTGATTCCAAAAGTTGTATAGTTTCACTAACGAATTTTTCCGAGTGGTTATCACGTGATGCAGCAATACGCGCATCAATTTCACGTTGTTGAAGTTTTGATTCAAGTTCTTTAATATATTTTTGGAGACTGGCTACTAAACCTTTATTTTGTTCATTAGCAGAATCAGCTCCTTCTATTCGATTTTCTTGTTCTTTTAAAATAGATTCTGAATGATTTAAAGCTGCACTAGTAATTGCAAGTTTACTCTCGAGTGATGATATTGTCTTTTCAAACTGTTCTATTTCTTGTTCAGTAACCACTCTTAATTTTATTCCGGAATGATTATTTTTTATTAATTCTATCTCATCATAATTATCTTGATGTAATGCCAATTCTGCCGAAGTTTTTGCATACTTTTGAGATAATTCTGCATAAGAACGTTGCAATTGTAATAATTGTTCTTCTAACGCTTCATAACTTTCTTTATCTCTTTGTTGATGTGCATTAATATTACCGTGTGTAAAAGTATTTAATGGTGATGTAGGTCGAATTCTAGTAGGAGTTTCTCTACCACCAACCGGAGTACTTCTTCCAGGAATTCCAGGAATTCCAGAAGTGGTAGAAGGAGTCATCCTTCCTGGTATTCCAGAAGTAGTAGTAGTAGTAATAGTAGAAGAGTTCTTTCCAATAAATTCATTAGTTGGAGTACTCCTTCCAGGAATTTTAGCCGATGGAATATTCTTTTCAGAAAATCCATTTAAAGAATTCTTATTACCACTAATAAAAGGAGATTGAGAAACTTTTTCCGGACTAACAGAACCACCATCTTGAGATCTTTGAGCATTTTGAGCAGCAGCAGCTTTTAAAGCAGAAATTTCACCTCTAAGTTTCATAACTAAATTTTGTAAATGATTAACATCATTCCAACCCGCTTCTTCTTGATTTACAGAAGCAAGATTTTTGATGTTTCTAGCACGATTAGCATATTTAAGAGTGCTAATAGTTTCATTCATATTATATTCAATTGGAGATACACAAGCAATCATTAAAGTTTGTGCATTTCCACCAAGAGAATCTTGTAATAAACGAGTAAGTTTAGAATCTCTATATGGTACATGAGTGGTATGTCTTGCTTTGTTAGGATCACCAAGAGCTGAAATCACATTTCCTAAAGCAAGTAAACCAGAGTTTATCGAAATTCCTTCTCTTGCACGATCACCGCTTGCAGCAGTACGTTTTAACTACAAAATATATATATATATATATATTATATGATGTAAATATGAGATTTATTTAATTAAACGTGCACGAATTTTAACATAATATTAAACATGCAATTATAACTTACACGTTCACTTCCAGCTAAATCAACGAAATGAAATTTACTAGATATTGTAACCCATTCACCATCATCAAATTTATCTAAACTAGAATTTGTTCTTGAAGATGGTTGACTTCCAAATCTTGATGAAGCAGGAGTTCCAGGTCTTGAATTAGGTGGAGATGTAACTGATTGACCTCCCGGAATGTAATTATGAGGAATGAATTTTTGTTGCACCATCGTGACAGAGAATATTGCATGAGACCGAGAGGATTTAGAGTTCATATCAGTAACACCGACCTGTCGGTGCATTGAACCACGCGCTAAATAGCTATTATAAAAAAAAATAAAATTAGCGGATTAAAAAAAAAAAAAAAATTTTTTTTGTTAAAACCTTTATTATCTTGATTATCTTTTTATTAAATATAAATACCCACTCCATAACTTGATCTACATTGGCAACTTTTAATTCTTGTAATCCAGTCCAATATATATTTCCTCTTGAATCTTCTCGTATCGTAACAGGGGGTCTTTCTTCTTCATTACCCTCACCAAGAAGATCAATTAAATCTTCATTATGAATCTCAATAAATGAAACTTTTATTGAGAATTTATGAGATTTATATTGACCAGAATTAACCAAAGAAAAAAGTGCTGCCATTGTACGTGGAATTATTCCTTTTGATTCTGGAGGTATAGTGGTATCATCGGCAGTTCCCATTGTATGAGTCTTTCCCGAAGATGTTTGTCCATATGCCAAAATAGTCACATTATAACCTAAAACAAATTCATAAAATTATATAAGTAAATATGACTTCATTTATTCTATTGAGTCGATTTTTTTTTTTAATAATAAAAGATAAATGTAGTCATTATTGATAATTTAAGGATTTAAATATACTGTATAAAACAGATATTCATTTTCATCCTCATTCAATCGAATCAAACTCACCCTCCAAAAATTTTGTAATCATATTTCCGATCGCTCTTTCATAAACTTCTTGTTGAGTAGCTTCAGGAGCAAAAACATGATCAAATTGAAATAATTGTCTCTTTTCCGTATCAACAACTACTTGATTTGGATTAAATGGAGAAACAGATATAACTTGACGTTGAAATCTTGCTGGTAAATTAATTAAATCATCTTGTGTAAGCGGTTTTATTCTGAGTGCTATTTAAATAAATAAAAATTTTTCGAAAAAATTTAGTTAAATGTTTATATATTCTCTTAATTATTTTTTAAATCATACTTTTTACAACGTGAAATTCGATCATAAAAAAAATTTATATAAAATTCGATTTAATAAATTACCAACTTGCACCGAAGTCGACGTTGAAGACATGATTATAATCAAATTCTTTTTTAAATTATTTCATAAGATCGATCGCTTAAATCGATATAATTTTTTCACTATCAGATTAATAGATTTAATAAATCAAATAACCCAGCCCGCTGGTCAATGATACTCGTTATGATATTGATTGATGATTTGGTTTATTTAAATAAATAAATTTTTATCTAGACGAGACCAAGAGATTTTTTTTTTTTTACAAACAAGAAAATCACAAAAGAGTAATTCTATAAATACGAGTAAAAAAAAAGTTCAACTAGAAACATAAGTAAAAAAAAAAGAAAAGAATAAGAATTTCTGATAAAATCCTACAACAGCATTTGTTTATAAACTTCTTGTACGAAATAAATTAAAAAAGGAAAATGTGTAACGATAATGACTGTTTAAAGTTCTTTTGTGTCTATTTAAGATGTACAATTAGTATATCGAGTATATCGATCCTGGAAGCGTGGCGTCTAACTTACTATCGAACTTCTTTGTTTCGCATACACGGGAATACGTAATTAAAGATGCACATGCATTAAATAATGTACCGAAAAGAACAAAAATACAATATTTTTTAGTGATAATGTAAGAAGGTACCTACGTACGCACGCACGCACGTATGCGTACCCAACATTCTTAATTAGTGAAATTTTGGTTGTACCTATTGTTACGAACGTGATGAATTATAAAATGCAATTTGAAGATAGATTACTTAATAAATAATGAAATGCTTTAGATGGTTAGTACGTGCGTGAGTTTAAATTTTCCTTATATATTATTCACGATAAAATCAATTTTAAAAAACGTATTTCATCTGATTCATGTTTTTACTCTTTTTTTTTTCTAAATTAGTCTCACATGAATACGCATGCTTTATGTTCAAAACTGAACTAAGTTATTTTTACTGCTGCATTTAATGATTTATACGTAATTGAATAACGCTAAGAAGCATCTTATCTAAAGAATTGGAAATAATAATAGCGATGCGTAATAAAGTTTGTTATCTATTTTTCCTTGTTTACTTTTCATACTTAAACCGTTTTTAATCGGTTTTAATTGGAAAAGTAGAATCGGTTCCAAACCTTGCACAAGTATCTATTCTTAATAATGTAATTATAGTTACGATAGATCAAAATAAAGGCCTCAATATCAACGCTTGAATAGCTGTTGTCTATTCTATGTAAATAATAATAATAAATAATAGTAGTACGTTAGTATTGATACCAATGGTTCATAACAAAATGTATAAAAATGGTTTGAAACAAAAAGTTTGTTGTCCGAAATGATAAACTCACTGAATTTACTTTCATTACTGTATTTAAATTTTTTATTGTTTTTTTTTTTTTTGAAGTAAATAAATACGTGCTCTGTTTTACCTTATTCATCTTAATGATAATCTGTTAAAATATTCTCTACTGATTAAAGGTTACTTATTCTCTTATATTGGATGGAAATCTAATAGTATCCGATTATAATGTTAGTTTCTAAGTCGTTACTAAGTGAATGAGTATTCAAGTAATACGTAATAGGTATAGGTGTTTCTTAGAATTATATATTTATGCTGTAGTTAATATTGAATGAGTACTCTAGTTACGTATCACGTATGAAAGCGGGTAGCGTGTGTTACGCTTAGCGATAAATGTGGCTTGTGCAGATTAGCCTGGGCTTAGCATAAGTCATGCGGGATGAGCGTTTTATTGGAATTTAAGTCATTATATTTATTGAATTGTTTATCGTTATAGTTATTGTATGAAAAACCCAGTTACACGCACGGGATTTAAATATGGTATTCAATATATACCCATATAATAACTATCTTATCGGTAACAATCCCATGCCAATAAGTAAATGAAAAAGTACGGGTCACATAAGACCCGTGCAATAATATGTTATTCCTTTACCCGCAATTTTTAATTTCTATCTTCGTCTCTTATTCCATCATCTTCTACTGTTATTCCTCCCATTTAAAATCATTTGTCTATACTGTATTTATACAACCCCTGTATTCCATTATTAATCACGAAAAATGAACGTGAAGTAATAACTTACTATTATATAGATGACGTCATTTGAATCTTTCCATATGCGAATATGACAACTATATTAATAAAAATTACCCAAAAATGAAGATCATGACAAAATACAATGCTTTATTTAAAATAAAATTTTATTCTGAATGTTGTATTTATTTCTTTACCAAATTAAACCTTATCAACTCAATTAAGCTTCTTTCTATCTTTAATGCTAATTCATTGCACTATCCCTACTTCTAGTTAATGCCAGGGATAAGCCAAAATTAGAGGAGGTTCATTTTAGGGAAATATATTCAAGAGCTGGTATTTCTTGTTATGTCATGTACCCTTTTCTTACACATAATAGTTGTGATCATTTACTGATTTCTATTATGTGCTTTAGAAATTTTTTTGTATTGTGTTATGTGTTTTACAATAAATCCGCATAAGACTACGTATTATAATCATTCAAGATTATTGTTTAATGCTACTTTTTGAGGACGACAAATTTGGTTAGCTATAAAAGAGACGCAGTTGAAGTTTTGCTTCTTGGCGAATTGCATTTACATATAAAGAGATTGAAATTTTTAGCGTAAACTTTTCTGCATCGTACGTACGTACATACGTACTGCATTTAATGAACAAGGTAAATTTTTATTCATTGTTTATGTCAAAAACTTTATACTTTTTTAGGTTTATTGTTTTGGGAACAGTCAAAAAAAGTCATTACGTATACGCAAATAAATAACAGATAAATTGTTGACAAAGAGTATAATGGAATTTGATCAATCATTTTTATATGAATCTAATGATTTCTTTCGTGAAATTATTATCGAATGGTGTAATTTCTATAATGAAATTGCTAAAGAATTGTGTAATCTGTATGATGAAGAAAGAATCAAAGGCAAAAATACAAAATTAACTCTTGAAAATTGAAAAGTTTCTAATAAATAAAAACCAGAATATAAATGATATAATTAATTTGTGCTTGAATTTTCAAACCAATTCTACGTTTTATTGTATTCTTGGAAATTGTTATCGTTTTGGCAAATGGGTTGAAGAAGATGAGAAAAAAGCGTTCATCTGTTATCAAAAACCTGCCGAGATGGGGCATTTTGATGGGTTATTTAATCTTGGAATTTGTTATAATATTGGAATTGGTGTCGAAAAGGATAAGCATAAAGCACTTATTTATTATCAAAAATCATCCGAAATAGAGAACTTCTTTATTTATCGAAATTTTATTATGAAGCTATATTCTCTTAAGCTATCCATGCTTGGGTATAATTACGAAAATGGAATTGGAGTTGAAAATGATGAGTATAAAGCATTCATTCATTATAAAAAATCTGTTGATACTCGTAAGAAGTTCGTTGGTAGTATATTTAAACTCGCACAATGCTATCGAAATGGGACTGGCGTTGAAAAGAATTATGATAATGCATTCAAATACTATCAGGAATCCGCGGAAATGGGGCATGCTACTGGAATGTATTATGTAGGACATTGTTATGATAATGGTCTTGGTGTCGAAATGGATAAATGTAAGGCGTTTATTCACTACCAAAAATCTGCTGAAATGGGATAGGGCACTGGATTATATAAAGTTGGTTATTTTTATCAAAATGGAATTGGTGTTGAAAAAGATGAAAATAAAGCACCTTTTTATTATGAAAAATCTTTAGAAAAAGGATTTCCTCGTGGAGCATATGAACTTGGTCATTGTTATAAAAATGGAATCGGTGTTGAAAAGGATGAACATAAAGCATTTATTTATTTTCAAAAGTCTGCCGAGGGAGAGTGCATTGACGGAATGCTTCAAGTTGGATAATGTTATTATAAGGGAATTGGAGTTAAAATAGACGAAAATAAGGCGTTCATTTATTTTCAAAAATCTGCTGAAATAGGAAGTACCATTGCGATTATTGAAGTTGGTAATTTCTACCGAAAAGGAATTGTTGTTGAAAGGAATGAACGAAAAGCATTTATTAATTATGAAAAAGCTGCCAAGATGGGAAGTTTTGTAGGAATGTATATTCTTGGCATGTGTTATGAATGTGGATTTGGAGTTAATGAAGACGAATATAAGGCATTTATTTATTATCAAAAATCCGCTGATATGGGGCACAAAGAAGGAATGTGTTGTCTTGGTGATTATTATTATTATGGAATTGGCGTCGCTAAGGACTATCATAAAGCATTCATCTGTTATCAGAAATCCGCCGAGATGGGTCATGTTGAAGGAATTTTAAAGCTTGGATATTGTTATCAACTAGGGAATGGAGTTGAAAAGGATAACCATAGTGCATTCAATTACTTTAAATACTTTAAAAAATCTGCTAATATGGGGCACGGTGAGATTGTTATTCCTATATGATTGATGTTGAAAAGGATGAGTATAAGGCGTTTATCTATTATCAAAAATCTGCTGAGATTGGTTATGCTCCTGGAATGAAAAAAGTTGGTGATTGCTATCGAAATGGAATTGGAGTGATAAGAGATTTACAAAAAGCTGAATATTGGTATCAAACGTAATAATTGTTTTCATGTATATAATATTTTCGTTACACATACAATTTGTTAATAAATTCATATATTGATTAATTAGGGGAAAAAACAAAACATCGAGTATAACATCAGGTAATTTCTATTATTTTCTAATGTTACGTGTTAATTCAATCATAATCCTATAATTATTGTATCTATTATATGTTGTCACAGATGAATGGAAGCATAAAAAATTTGATGTTGACGATACTTTAAAAAAAATGATTATAAAAAATAAATATTCAATACGATGGATTGATTATTATGAATTTAAAATTATGGAAGAGATAGGAAAGGGTGGATTTTCAACTGTTTATTCTGCTGAATGGGTTGATCAAAAACAAAAACGTCAAATAATTGTTGCACTTAAATTTCTTCACGGATCAAAAACTTGTAATAAAGAATTTATAAGTGAGGTAATATTTTTTTTAACCCTTATAATTACCT